CAATCTCTTTTGGTGAGACTTCAAAATAAAACAATATATTCTTGAGTATTCCTCAAGTATATTAATATCTGTTGATTTTATTGTCAATATTAGAAATGACTATTTTCTCTTTGAAGACTATTAATCAGCGTTGGGTCATTAAATGAAATCTATAAAGAAAAGTTTATTTTGATTCATAGTCTATTATCAACTTAACACCCCCATGGTTTGGGGCCTGTGGAGAGGCAGCATATGATTGTGGGAGTGCATGGTAGAACAAGTCGAACTACAGAACAAAAGAAGAGAGGAGAGGAAAGGAGAAAGGGAATGGACTGGGATCCCACAGTCTCCTTTAAGGACATATCTCCACTGATGCAGGCCTTCCTTCTAAAGATTCCACCACCTTCCAGTAGTGCCATGCTGAGAACCAGTATGGGCCTTTGGGGAGTATTTAGCACTACCATAGATTAGGTTTCAGAAAGAATCCAGTACAATTCTCTGTGATGATCATCACTCAACCTTGGTTTTGGTAAACAGCCAGAAATATTATCATAGACTAGCTTCCTAGTATAAAGAAGAGACTTGTTGGTGCAAAACTGGGATAACATTGAAAGTCTTGAGTGTTTTACAGATGTTTTTTTTTTTTTTTTTTTTACTATCAAGTTGTATTATTTTCCCAAAAGTTTCTTTTATTTCAGTGCTGGATTCTGTTTCAGAGCCAAACTTTGTAACCTATATCTTCTGTTGCTTAAGATAATAGGAATTGCAAATGTTGATAGAGGGCTTACTATGTTCCAGCCACTGTTCTAAGTGCTTTATGTGTTTTAACTCATTTACTCTAACAACTCTATGAAGTAACCCTTTTTGTCTTCTCTCTCTCTCTCTCTCTCTCTCTCTCTCTCTCTCTCTCTCTCTCTCTGTTGTGTATGGACTCAATTCCTTTATTTGTTTTTATGTGGTGCTAGGTTTGAACCCAGTGCCTCACACTTGCAAAGCTAGTGTTCTACTGCTGAACCACAACTCCATGCCCTCACTGTCTTCTCTTCATAGGTGAGGAAAGTAGGCACAGAGAGATTAAGTAACTTGCCCAAGTTTCTCAGCCATGGAGGCAGAATTTGAAGTCAGGGAGTCTGGTTCCAAAGGCTGTACTTTTTAACCACTGTGCTATATTGGCTTAACTAAGTAAACTTAACACCCACAATTATCAAATAGTTGTTTTTTTAATTAATATAATTCATTAAACTTTATATTCAAATTTACACTAAGGATTAAAAATTATGAATGATTTTTAAAAATTAGGTTTATGGGGAAAATTCCAGCTGTACATAAAATTCCTAAAATATTTGACCAGCTTGTATTTCACTTTTAAAGCAGACTTTGTTTTTTAGAACAGTTTTAGATACAGAAAAATTGAGAAAGTGTATGGAGTTCCCATACAAGCCTATGCCCAGTTTGCCTTATTTTTATAAGAATTAATGAACCAATATTTGACAGTAAACAAGAGTAATGCTAACTTATTATTGAGCAAAGTTCATAGTTTATTAAAATTTTATAGATTTCCCCAACTGTCCTTTTTTGTCTTTTAGGATCCTATTACAGTACATTTAATTGTCATGTCTCTTTAGGTTCTCCTTGGCTCTTAAGTTTCTTGGACTTTCCTCATTTTTGGTGAGGAAAGTTTCAAGGAATACTGGCTAGATATTACATCACATGCCCTTTGGTTAGAATTTTCTGATGTTCTCATGATTAGACTGAGGTTGTAAAACAGTAGGGGAGATATTACAGATGTAAAGTGTTTTTTTCATCACATCATCTCAAGGGCACTTGCTACTAACATGATTTGTCATTGTTGTTAACCTTGATCAAATGTCTTATGTGGTGTTCATCAACTCTTGCACAGTGAAACTACTGTTTTTATCCTCCCACGAATAGGGTACTCTTTGGAAGAAATCACTATGCATACCTCTCTGAGGGCAAAGTTATCTACATAAAGCATTTAGTATTCTTTTACACAAGAGGTTTGTTTCTTCTCAATTTATTAATTTATTCAGTCATTTATGTCAATATGAATGTATGGATGTTTATTTTATACTATAGATATAAAGTCAATACTATTTATTGCTCCAATTATTCCAGCTTTGGACAGAGGGAACATTTTCAGATGAATTTTATACACCTTTGAACATACCCTTCTAACTTAAAAAAAATTTTTTTATTGATGCATTATAACTATACATAATGGTGGGGATTCATTATGCCATATTTATACATGCATATAACATCATTGACCACTCTTATTCTCCTGCATCTCTCTTTTCCTTCCCCTCCTCCTCCTGATCTGCTGACTCTACTAATCTTATTATTATTATTATTATTATGTCAATTAGTACATTATAAGCAGGATCCATTGTGGTATATTCACACATGGACATAGCATAATTTGATATATTTTGTTCCCCTGATACTTCTCCATGCCCTTCCCTCCTTGTACCCTCTTTATTTCCTTCTTTCTGGAACTACATGATGCTTTTGACTTCAGCTTGTATATTTTCTGCCCCTGCCCTACAATTAATCATTTCTCCAAGGAGTTCTGATGCCTTTTATTGGAGAATGGTTCAGATACCAAGACCTGTGTGCTAGGTATACTTGTTGCTACTGGGGTGTCATTTTTTTAGACCCTCTTAGCTGACAGCAAAGAAATACATATGTCTGTGCTGATCCATGTGTTTATACACACATATCCATAAATATTTCTATATGTAACCATTTATATCAAATCGAATATCAGTTCTTACTGAAGTTTCCAACTTTGATCCATCACTACTTGGATTATTATAATCTCCTATTTATTTTATTTCTAAATTCCACTCTAATAATGAGATGCCTGGCTTCCACAATGTTATCCATTTATTCACTTGTTCAGTTCCAGTGTACATCTATAATGATGTCAGTTGTAAACCAATTGGAGTACAGAACTCAAGAGTATTTCCTTTGCCTTTAGTCTTACTCATTTAGTCTACTTTCCAGAGTTAATTAAACCAGCACTTAATCTCCTAGTTTGTTTCTTCTGTCAATAAAATTTGATAGATGAATGAATCAGATTTTTTCCTGGAAGGCACTGTTTTCTCTCTTGCTTCTAGCACTACGTGGACCACTCTTTGTTGCTTCTCTCTGAATTCTCTTTGCCCTGATATACCCAGCTCTTTATCTTGTCTGCCCAGCACCCCTGCCCCTTGCACCTTTATTCCACATTATAAACACATTTATTTCACTCTCAATAGTGCTGTTAATAAATTGAATATATTATGAATTATGTTGGAATATTTTTTATTTTTTATGCTATAGATAGCATTTCATTTTGGTGTCTTAACATTTCTGAAAAATGAATAATTTGTTTAGTGATTATCTTTCAACATTTCTTCAAAACACGAATATACATTTAATTATAACACCACATTTAAAAATATTTTTGGTTTTTAAGCTGAACTGTTTCAGTAGGGAGGCAGTATAACATTAAGAGCATGGATTCTGGAATTAGGTGTGCTGACTTTAAATTATGGCTCTACAGTTTAATAAATCTGCACAATGGAGAATTTGGGGTTTTATAACTAATAGGATCATAAACATTAAATGGGACAATATATCTTTTAAGCATGTTTAAGAGTGTCTATCATATACTGAGCACTTAAATAAATATTAACCATTAAATGCTAATGCGATGTAAGGTCAAGGAAAGGAGAATCATAGCATACTACTATGTTTAAGATGATTATCTTTGCAAACTTCTGAAGATTACTTCAGAGGCTTAAAGATAGGTTGATAATACATACTTGTTTGCCTGGGATGATAATCCACAATATGCCTGTTATGTTAGCATGATTATGAAGAGCATCCTCCTTTTTACTCACTAAAGTATTTTGGTTTGGACAAATTATATGATCACTTAATTTTCGGGGGCTATAAAACTTTTATCTGCATCCCTCTGACAGGGATGGTATAAATGAGCACAGGAGGCTAGGATTAGACTAGTGGGTCCTGGGAAATGTGCACATCTAAGAGGACAGCACTGCTTCACTCCAGCTGCTGAGGAAGATAGTAGGCCTGGTATAATACAATCTTGCATTTTTTAGAGTAGGCAGAAATCTGGAAAATTTAAAATGATTCACCCAATTTTTCATCATTAGCAACTGATAAAATTTTTCTGAAAAGCAAAAAAATTCATTAAAAATCTATGCATTTGATCATACATAATTTATATTGCAGTTTTAAAATATGCAGGACAAATGATGGTCTTTCCATATAGCCTGAGAGTTACTGCTTCCAATAACTAATAATTCCTTAATGTAAAGAATTAATTCTAGTAGCATTTGTGTATGTTTTTATTTAACTTGTGGACAAAGACTTGTAGACAAGTGCAAAAATAAATCCTCTTTTGCAACCCAGAACTCATTGTTCAGTATGAGTTTTGATAAATATAAGCAGGTATATTGTACCTAAGATAGCTTAAAATGATGGGATATTGATAAATGAAAAGGTTGGTCCTAAGACTAAAAAGTTAATAAAAAGAACAGATCATGAGGAAAAAAAAAAGAATTACTTCTAATGTGGAAACTGAACATGTATTTTAAAGCAAACTATTTATGCAATTATATCAAACTTTTGAGAACTTTTAACATTGTTACCACATATATTAGCTATATGATAGTAAAAACTGTAAGACAGGAAATACTTTATATGGTTATTTCAAGGAAAATCTGGAAAGCATATGTAGACGGAGAAAAACTGAAAAAAGTAGCACTAAATTGACCATAATTGTCTTTGAAATCATTAATGAATTAAAATGACCAAGAATTTTCTGAAGGCAACATAACTGCAGTAGTAGAAATAGAAGCAAATGTGTAGTAGGCAACAATTGTGGAATGCTTTCTAATGCCTTTCACTTGAAATGTATTTCATGTGATCTTTTGTAGCTTAGACTTCCAGAACTTTTTTTTGGATACAACTTTTTTTCCTTTTTTAAGATTGCTTTAAAGAAGTCATTGATATACGTCTGGATGAACTTCTCGATGTTTTAACATCTGTAATTAATAAGCATCAGAACCTCAATTCTGTTGATATCCAACATGCTGCAGAAATGCTTGCTGCAAAAGTGAAAGGTAAGGATGATATATTAAAAATGGGTTGCTTGGTACAAAAAGTATCCAGTGAGACACTTTAGTTCATAGTGACTGTATAACCATCTCTTCTGATGGCATTTGTATGAGGTGTATCAGTAAAGAGTTATATATACTTGGATATTTAAATACTTCCACTAACTCACACCTACAGCTTTCTTCCTCTTAAAAATGAAAATTTAAGGGGACTGGGGATGTGGCTCAAGAGGTAGCGCGCTCGCCTGGCATGTGTGCGGCCTGGGTTCGATCCTCAGCACCACATACAAACAAAGATGTTGTGCCCGCTGAAAACTAAAAAATAAATATTAAAAAATTCTCTCTCCCTCTCTCTCTCTCTCTCTCTCTCTTTAAAAAAAAAAAGAAAATTTAACTTGTCAGTGAACACTGTAAAACTTCTAACTTAAACCAAACAACTGATGTTTAAAATTCGAACTTTATGAATGAGTTCATAATATATTGAGGTAGTTTGTTAGTGTACAGGTGTCTTTGTTATGTGAGGAAGAGTGGTTTTAGAAAACGTTCAATTGTAGTGATTCCAGTTTGTAAAAGTAACCAAGTGGAGAACAAGAACAAGACTTATTTTATGATTTGAAATGAAATTAAAATTGTAAAATAAGTTTAACCGATATATGTGTATGAGTGTGAGCTCTCACATAGCATATATGTGCTAAAGCAGTCAAGAATTGGGACTCTCCACTGAAATGGCTTATCACTCAAAATCATTAAAATGATTCTGGGCTGCAACATATAAGAATTGAGAGTGAAGAGGGAGTATTTAGGTCAATTAGGAGACTGTTAGAAGTAATGGGCAAGATAAGAATTGAAGGTCTGATCTAAGGCAGAAACTGGGATGTGGTAGTGGGTAGGTTGTTGATTGTCATCTAGAGGAGATAGATGTGAACTGACAAAACCAGTTGAGCATATTAGGGGTTATGGAGAAGTCTGGAGATGGAAAGTGTGGACTTGGGAATTGATGTATAGGTAGTAGATATTTTAAGTGGGAAAAATGGGTAGTTTCTCATGTGGCTTTTAAAAATGTGCTTAAGTAACCAGATTTGTTTTTAAATAGATTGTTTACAAGTGCTATTTAACTCTACTTAGGGAAATTTGTGTCTAGAGAGAGTAAATTTCCATGCTTGGAAATAGCGGCCTAGTTCAATAATTGTCAGTGGCTACTGTGTGCAGTCAGGACATCATGGGGAAGGAGTGCTTGTGGTTGGTGTCCACAATCCAGAAACAGATGAAGAGAATGGTCTCTCAGTTGCCTTGGAGATCCTTTTTATCTTTGAGGTAAAGTAATCTTTTGAATATGATTTCCCACGGTGACTGTCTTTACACTTGGGATTGTTACTGTTTTACTTTTGCATTGGGTGAAACTTAAAAGAGGAAGATTACTTGTGAAATTTATTCTTTCAGCAAGTATTTGTGAGACTAGAAAACTTTAAAAACTGTTCTCTTTGGAGGTAGGTTTACATGTTTTTAAATAAAACCTTCTTCCCTGTCCTTGCTCCTAATGTTGAAGCCCCGTAAAAATATATTGATATTGGTAAATGCAAAATGTTCAGTGGTCTGCAAAATGGAGATCAGAGCTTATTTAATTCTTTGATTTAATGACAATTTAGTTTTCAAAACCTGAAAAGGCAAGATATAGTTGGAAGCCATTTTTAAATGTCTGTTCTGTGCCAAGTAATCTAAGTGCTTTGCATACTTCAGTCTTTGCAAAAACCTGTAAATGTACATTTTTGTTATGCTTATTTCAGAGAGAACTGTTAAGAAAAACTCTTATATGGTAGGATAAAAAAGCTGTAGATGTATGAAGATCATTCAGTCTTAACCCCCTGATTATATTTTAAATAAACAACAGTGACCTAAATAGTTGACTTGTTTAGAGTTCTTACCCATCAAATGCATTTTTCGAATTTGTCAGACTGCCCAAACAAAAACAAACAACCCACCCCACAATACAGAATACCTTCAGAATCTGTTGTGTATATAATGTTTGTGTTCCTCAGTTCTGAATGCATGAAGTGCATCCATTTCCTATGCATAAGACATGAGAAATTGAAATCTTTAATTCCTCTTACTTGTTATTGTAAATATGAAATTTACCTTGTCATAACTTTAGAAGAAAAATTCTTAGTTTTCCCCATTCATTATAGTAATGATTTGTATTTCCTTCATCTCCTTCTGTTTCCAAGCAGGAAGTTCAGTCTGACAAAATATTTTCAATGTGGTAAGAGAGATACAGGCTATTTTTGAAGCAGAAAAGGACATTTTCAGAACTCAGGAATTTATGCTGCATTTAGTAGTTGTATTTTAATTTATTTAGGAAAATTTTAATATGTAATAGAAAAAGAGGTTTCATTTAGGTTTTTCATGATCTGAATTTTGCCCTACATTTATAAATTGGCAAGCAGAAAAATAAGCCTTAATTATACCCCTAAGATTATAGAAGTTTCATGTTTTCTTTCTATTCTTCAAACTTGATTTTTTCAATATGCAGTTCATACACACAATTAAATGCAAATTGTGTAAGAGGGTATTCACCAATGACATTTTTTTTTTACCTAAACCTCTTTGCCTACCCATATTTTTCCCTAGATAAGCAATAACTACTACTGCTTTCTTGTGCATCTTTCCAGAGATATATTATAAATATACAAGCAAATACATGCATGTATTGTTAAATTCTGACAAATGCACATTCCTGTGAAAACGTCATTATAATCATGATAATGCTTACTCCCATTATAATCCTCTACCTCCTCTTTCACAAATTTTGGTCTTTTATTTTCATTCTCATTTGGTTCAAAATACTTTCTAATTTGTCTTCTTTTTTGACACATGGGTTATTTAGAAGTTTGAGATTTAATTTTCAAGTATTTGGGAATTTCACAGAACACTTCTATTATTTATTCTTGTTTTAATTCCAGGTAGTTGCAGAACGTGTTTTGTCTGATATGAATACTTTCAAACTCAGTGTGAGACATGTTTTATGGTCTATAATATGAACTGTGTTGGTAAATATTTATTTGAAAAGAACTTGTGTTTGCTGTCACTAAGTGGAGTGCTCTATAAATGTCCGTTTTGCCAAGGTGGTTGACAGTATCATTCAGCTGTTCCTACCCTTACTCATTTTCCATCTGTGTATTCTGTCAGTTGCAGGGAAGGCTATTAAAATCTCTGGCTATCTTTGCTTCATGCATTTTGAAGCTCTGTTTATTGGATGCATAAATGTATAGAATTGTTAGGTCCTCTTGATAAATTGACTCCTTCATAATTATTAAACAAGGTTGTATCCATCTGTGACATCCCCGCCTCACTGCCCCCTGTAATTTCCTTTGCTTGTGAATCCATACTATGTAATATTAGACAGTAAAGTCAGGCAGTTGTAAGTTACCATGGTGTTTCTTGTCTATCAGGGATTACTGTCTTTTATTGTCTGATTATACAGGGTGTTGAAAAATGTTGCTTCTTAAATTTTATATAGGTTTTTTTTTTCAGTTATTTCAGGCATAATTATAACCTGTTTCTTGGTCAGAACAGAAGTCTTAAGAGTGTTTTAAAAATGATTTGCAATGATTCTTAGTTTTTCTTTTTGTTGATATTAGGGATATTTAGAAGAATATGATGAACTGTGTGGACACCCCACCCCCGCCCCAATCTACGAAGATTTATACATGTAAAATCTGATTGTAATCTCATGGAGTTTATAGGCTAAAGGTTTAATTCATCCAAATCTAGTAGTACTTGCTTTCCAACTCTGTTTGCATATTAGAATCACTTGGGAGAGCTTTTGGAAAAATATCTGTGCATTAACTCCAGACCTTTTTTTTTTTTTTTTTTTTTTTGTACCAGGGATTGAACCCAGAGGTACTTAACCACTGAGCCAGATCCCCAGCCCTTTTTCATATTTTAGTTAGAGACAGGGTCTCACTAAATTGTTTATGACTTCACTCAGTTTCTGAGTCTGGCTTTGAACTCAGGATCCTCCGACCTTAGCCTTTGAAGCCACTGGGAGTATAGACATGCACCCCTGAGCCCCGCTACTACAGACTTCTCAAATCTGAATCTTTGGTGATGGGGCTGATTTTGTTTTTAAGACTCCTCATTCAATATTTAAAATGATTGGTAAAGCAGAGGATGGCTTCTTCTCCACATGGTTTCTCTACCTGCACCTTATTGGTGGTATACTAGAGAAGGTGGGTAATAAGGAATCATTTGCTCCTTATTACCAGCCTGAGTAGCATGGTTTATTTACTTCAAGGAAAAAAGCCAATTCCATCATCAGATTTTGTCTTAGTAAATTGTATTTGGGCTTTTATCAAGAGTGCGTACAGAAGTTAAAAGAAGGGGCTGGGGATGTGGCTCATGCGGTAGCGCGCACTCCTGGCATGCGTGTGTCCCGGGTTCCATCCTCAGCACCACATACAAACAAAGATGGTTGTGTCCGCTGAAAACTAAAAAATAAATAATAAAACTCTCTCTCTCTCTCTCTCTCTCTCTCTCTCTCTAAAAAAAAAGTTAAAAGAAACCCTTTTAGTTGTTTCATGATTTGCATTAAAAAATAAAAAAGTCTCTATTATAAACAAAAGACAGCTATATGTCAATTAACATAGATCTCAGGTCCCAAGATCCTATTATGAGCAATAATACTATGAATAAATATGAATTTAAATTCTCTATAAAGAACTGGATTTTTTAAAAAATATGATATGTTGTATTATAGGTTTTATATATATATATATATATATATATATGCATATAAAATTTTAGTTATTGGTGGTTCATAGTAAATATGTGCTTCCTATTGATTTCCATGAGCCACAATGTCTTCAACAGTTTTTTTAAAACACCAGAGAACAGTAAGCAAGAGAAAATAGTGCAGAACATTCTTCATGAAGAGGTCTGGTGTAACGGACTCCAACTCCAAGACAGATTGATTTCACATTAAGTTACTTTTTATATGTGTAAAATTATGTAAATCATGGAGTAGGGAATTTGGAATGCCAACTACTTTCATGCAAACTGATATTTTATGATTTTCTTAATAAAAAACTGAATATCCTATTGGTTTTGTATATTAACCCTTTCAATTTCTGAATCTTTTAATGTAGTAATGGTAAATTTTTAAAGTACTAAATGATTTTGTATGAATCTAGTTTCAAATATTTTATCCATCATTTATTGTAACCAACCTTTCCTCATAGCTGTGAATTTTACAGAAGTTAATGAAGACAACAAAAATAATCTACTCCAAGAAGTATTTTCTTCTGTTGAAACTTTGACATTTACCTTTGGGGATATGTAAGTAGAGGACTGTCATTTAAATGTACTTGGCTGAAGTGTGTTTGAGTACATTGGGTGTAGAAGTAATAGAAAGTAAAGTATTAACTATTATAACATACTATCACAACTTTGAAAAAGCCATATTTCATATTACTATATTGATGTATTTGGAGGTGTCTTTATAGCTATTTAGAAGCAACCTTCACTTGCAAGTTCATTTGCAAGTTCTCAGGTTCTTACTTAAAACAGATTGTCCTAGAATACATGATTGTAAAGCCTGTGACAAAGAAGCATAATGGTATGCTTTTTTTTTTAACCTCCCTGGATAGCTTTGCAAACTTCCTTATGGGACATGTACACAGACTGCCTGTTTCTCTGGAAAATAAGGTAGGCTAAGTTTATGTGAAAGTGAAACCTTTAATGTTTTTAACTAAGTAATTTATTTCCTAATCTTAATCTCAGAATTACTTTCATAGCGAAGTTTATAAATTACCACATTATGGCATGAAAACCAGACCAATTCATTTAAAATATGATAATATGATGAGTTTCTGAAGCAGTAATTTGATAATACTTTTTAAGTGGACTGAACTATTAAAAGAGTATGCCTGATATTTTATAACATAAAATGAATCCATATGGTATAGATCTGAAATATTAGAAGGGATTTTTAACCTTTTTTCCCTACTGACTTTGCCATAGACCTTGAGACTGGTGAAACTTGAAAAAAAAAAAAAAGAAAAATGGAAAAAGTAAGGAGGGTGGTAATATCACATACTATACAATTTTTTGTTTGTTTGTTTCTTTTGGCTAGGAAACACTTGTTAACCCTGTATATCTTAATTCTCCCTACCAGCATCCCTAGGTTTAGGGTTATGATTTCTAATTGGAAGAAAAATTTCTTTGGAATAATAAAGTGTCTGGAATGAATGGAGAATGTTGCCTTAAAGATTTATAATAGTAGGAATATTTTAAGTTTACTGATTTTTTTTCACTTAATCATATTTAAACATACTCCCTCAGAGACATGTGTTGATAATTCCTGTTAAGATGATCAGATCCATTAGTGAGACCCTGTCTCAAAATTTAAAAAAGGACTGGAGATGTGGCTCAGTGGTTAAGCACCCTTGGGTTTAACTAACCCTGTTACCAAAAAAAAAAAAAAAAAAAAAAAAAATTTGATCAGATCCAAAAAGGATTTCAACAAATGTACCAGGTACTTGTATTATATCAGAATAATATAAAAACTTAAGCTAGTGTAGTGGCACATGCCTGTAATCCCAGCAATTCAGGAGGCTGAGGCAGGAGGAGCACAAGTTCAAAGCCAGCCTCAGTAATTTAGCAAGAATATGTATCAAAATAAAATAAAAAATAAAAAGGGCTGCTGGGTGCAGTGGCACATGCCTGTAATCCCAGTGGCTTGTGAGGCAGGAGGATTGTGAGTTCAAGCGAGCCGCAGCAACTTAGCAAGGCCCTAAGCAACTCAGTGAGACCCTTACATAAATAAAATACAAAAAAGGGCTGGGATTCAGTGGTTAAGTGCCCCCCCTGAGTTTAACCCTCAGTACCAAAAAATAAAATTAAATAAAAAACTAAAAGAGCTGGGGATCTGTCTCAGTGGTTGAGTACCACAGGTTCAATCGCTGGTACCTCCAACACCCCCAAAAGAAAACCTTAAGATCTTTCTTAAAATGAGACAAAATATGAACATGACTACTTAAGGTATTTGGAACATGCATTATAATATTGCAAAAAAATTAGGACTATTTCTACAATCACTCATTGATAAACAGAGAATAAGGAAGAGTCTTAAAATTGTTAAATATTTTACTGTTTTTCAGTTTTTTTCCTCAATTTTGCCTTTTAAAATTGTAACTGATTCTTCAGAAGGTAATAAAACATTTTATATGTGTAGCAGAGCTGTGCCCAATTTAAATTTTAGATATGAATCGTATTTCCTATTCCTGCTTCTTTAGACACATACTATACTGACCTTTAATAGAAAAATACTTTTCCCCTTTTTAAAAAATGTTATTCCTTGTATTTCCTTTTTAAATTTTTAATTTTCCCTAGAGATTAAGATTAAAAAACTCATGATATAATCCTAATAATAACATTACTTTTTTTGATGAAGGTTTTTAAAAAATAAAAAATAATAGCTGCAATTCATTTTAATAGTGCTTACTATGTTCTCTCTACTGTGCTAATAACATTACATCATCTTGATTCTTAAAACAGCCTTATGAATATAGTGTTCTTATCCTCTTTTTACAGAAGGGCAAACTAACCTTAGGTGAGTTTAAATGTGTAACCCTATGTCATAGAGCAAATAACAGAGCTGGACTTTAGACCTAAGTCTTTTTGATCCCTTTTGCATTGAATCCCTATATGCCTTGTATTGCCCAACCAAGTAGATCAAATGTGTTCAAGATTTAACAATTTTGATAGATGTTGCTTTCTAGCCTTGCTAATGGTAGCCACCTAGTCACATCTTCTTAGTCTATTAGATACTTTTAAAATGTTCAAGTAAGTAGCTACAATGGTATATGGTATACTATATGGTAGTTAATAGCTACCATATAGGATATTACATATATAAAACATTTGCATCTTTACAGAAAGTTCTGTGCTAAACTACCAAATAAACTTTCAAGAATATGCTTATCATATAATAAAATGGTAAAAGATGGCTGGATAGATCTATATCTTCTATTTAGATAGCAATCTATTTAGATCACTTCTTCTATATCTTCTGTTTAGATAGCAATATACTTAGATGACTTCTTTGACTTCCTAATATTTGGGGGATATGCAAAATTTAAAGTTTTGCATAGATTCATTTATGTTAACTAATGCTGTTAGTAAATAATGAGATTGCTTATTCTTGGATCTTAAAAACTGCTGGGCAAAAAATCCATATAATTCTTAGAAAATGTTCTGGTATTTAAACAAACTTCTCAGGCTCTTTAAAAGGTTTTAAACGCTTGAAATTCTTTAGTAGGAATTATGTCAAAGTAATGAATTAGGATAAAAATTTTCTGAAGTAGAGATTTGTTGTCTTTTGCACTAATCTTAAATTTGTTTTCTTCCATGTTGCAAAGTCTTTTGAAAACACATCTGTGGACTCAGTCAAGCCATCCAATGAACAAGGTAATACTCAATGTACTTATAATTTTTGTCAAAAAATTTTGCAGTTTCTTTCAATGAGTGTTTTGGATTACTTAATATCTTCTTGATTAATGTAACCTAGTGTACCTAGGGTACTCATTTTTAGTGCAAAATGACATATAAAGATAAAAATATATTGTAATTTGAGGCCATTTTATGTTTACGTTGTGTCCTGTAGTTATACATTTGTCTGAATGCTGCTTTCTTTAAAATTATTATAGACCATGTTTAACAAATACTTACTCTGATATTTTTATTTTCAGGAAATTTTTCTCCTATAGAATTAGACAACGTGCTATTAAAAGACACTGACTGTATTGAATTGGCTTTCTCATATGCTAAAACATGGTCAAAATATACAAAAAACATAGTGTCATGGATTGAACAAAAGCTTAACTTGGGTGAGTTTTCTTTTGGAGCATCTGATTAACTTTGGAGTGTAAGAACTAAATTGTTTATGATCATTTTCTATAGACTGTATGTATTATGATTACAGATTAGTTGTTTCATTGTAATAAATAAAATCATTATTCATTTTCTCTTCCTGAGACTTTTCTTACACTGGATATACTTGTTCAATATTTACTATGGGTTGACCACTAGATCTAGAAGTCATATTCTAGTGGATGAAAAGAAATACAGACAGATAATATGGTAAAAGGAGATAAAAGCAATAATAGATGTTTAAGCAGAAGGCAGTGAAAGCTTAAAAGAAATATTCCCCCATCCCCCCATGCTGGGGATTGAGCCCAGCACATCAGGTAGGCTAGGTAAGCACACTATACTCTACCACAACTGAGCTACATTCCCAGCTCAAAGAAACACCTTAAAAGCTAATATTAGCCTAGAGTTTTACAGCTGAAAAAATGTTTTCATAGGAATTATCTCATTTAGTCCTACAAAACTGTGGGAAGTAGGCAAAACAAGAATTCTTAGCCCCATTTACAGATAAGATAAACAAGTGATTTTCCTAAGATCGTATAGCAGATTCAGTCATATAGCATAACTGGAAGAAAATAGAATCTAGCAAAGCCTTTCCACTATATAATTTGTTTTTAATAGGGAATGCTAATTAGAATCTCTCCAATAGCTTTAAAAAGGGATAGTACAAAGGCCTAGGTTCCATTTCTCAGAGAGCTGAAGTCCAGTCCAGTATATTTTGAAAAACTTTCCCAGTTGATTCTGATGAACACTTAAAATTAAGAATGAGGGGCTGAGGTTATGGCTCAGTGGTAGAGCACTTGCCTAGTATGTGTGAGACACTGGGTGCAATCCCTGGCACCACATAAAAAACATAAAAACAAATAAAATAAAGATACTGTGTCCATCAAAACTTTTTTAAAAAAGTTAAGAATGGCTGCATTTTATCAAGATGCACTCATTAGTATGTGTCATCATTTTTTCTCCTCTTATTTTTTGGGGGCACCAGGGATTGAACCCAGAGATACTCAACCACTGAGCCTCATTCCCAGCCCCTTTTTATTTATTTATTTATTATTTAAAAATATTTTAGTTGTACATAATAACTTTATTTCATTTATTTATTTTTCTATGTGGTGCTGAGTATTGAACCCAGTGGCACACACATGCTAGGCAAGTGCTCTACCACTGAGCCACAACCTCAGCTCCCCTTTTTAATACTTTGAGTCAGGATGTTGCTAAGTTGCTTAGGACTTTCCTAAATTGCTGAAGTTGGCTTTGAATTTGGAAATCCTCCTGCCTCAGCCTCCTGAGCTGCTGGGATTACAGGCATATACCATCATTCCCAGCTTGTAATCTTTTCAATTGGGGAATTACAAATAGAGTATGGAATGGAAAAATTAGTTAATTTTGCCTTCTGATACCTTTTTTAATCTTTTCAGAATTGGAATCCACCAGAAATATTATAAAGTTGGTAGAAGCAACTACAACTAACATTGGACTAGAGGTAAGTGTTCTGTGAATTTCTAGGGTTCTATTTACAAGTGACTAGTCAGATGACTCCAAAATAGTGCCTTGTAAAATCAGAAAATTTCAGTTACTAGAGGAAAGAACTTAATTGCTAGTCTTTTTATAGACAAATAAAATCCTTTTAAATTTATATGGCTGTGAATTATGAAAAAACTAGGAAATTCACAATTGTATACAAGTATTGATTATCATGATGGCTGCTAATTTTCTAATTTATATTTAAAATTAAGTTTCTTTATATTTTTCTTATAAATGTATTCATGAATAGTCATTTTTCTGGGAGAAAAAAATCTCAACTTAAGTTTCTCTGTTTTAAGAATAATGTGTGCATTTGGAATTCTAGTGCCATTTCGATTGTATAATTTACTTCTTAATTTTAAATTCTAGGAGTTTATGCCACTACAGTCTGTGTTTACCAGTGTTCTTCTTAATGATGTAAAGAAAAGTCTCCTTTTAGAACAAAGAATTGCAGCTCTCCAAGCCAATGAATTTGTACAGGTAAAATTGATTTACTTATATAATGCATGATTTTTTTTAAAAAGTAGCATATTTTTAGACAACAACCTTTTTCTTTGTCTTTTTAAAAAAATATCCTTGACAGCCTCTACTGGGGAGGAAAAATAAAATAGAAAAGCAAAGGAAAGAAATAAAGGAACTTTGGAAACAGGAACAAAATAAAATGGTTAGTATTTTACTGGAGTTTCATGTACCTATTTGTGAGCGTCTAAAAATCATCTATATTATATAACCATTAACCTTACTCTAGTTTTCTAAAGTATTGCTTAACTATCTTCCTGAATTGCTAAAGAAAATTGTATAGTAGGGTTTCTTTCAAATTCTATGTTTAATATACTCTTTTCTGCATAGCTCAAAACAGAAACTGCTCTCAAAAAGGCAAAATTGTTATGCATGCAACGTCAAGATGAATATGAAAAAGCAAAATATTCTGTGTTTTGTGCAGAGAAGGAGCATCAGTGCTCATGTGGTGGATTAGCAAAAAATCCCAACAAGCAACTAGAAAAAAATCACAGGTTGGAAGCAGAAGCACTTCAAAAAGTAATATTTTTTTTTTGTTATTTGAAAGCTCAATTAGCAATAATATGAAAAGGGTTTGAGTTTAAACTTATAATATGTGTTGGGATTATCTAGGAGGCTTATTCAAGCAGACTGCTTGGCCCACCTTAAAGTTGAGGATTGAGTAGGTCAAGGGTGAGACCCAAATAACCTATTTCTAACAAGTTCCCCGGTGATGCTGGTGGAGATCCACACTTTGAGAATGACTATGCTAAGAGATTTAAAAATTTGGGGTTTTATTTGTAAAAAAGTATTTTAAAGCAGTAGTTTAATATATTTTACTTGATTTTTCAGAAAGTTCACCTTTTAGGCAAGTGTGTATATTGTGTGTGTTCTAATTCCAGCACCTACTTGCAAGTATAAATTAAAATTTTGTTTTATTTATGAAATATAGTTTGATAAATTATGTGAGATAAACAGTAAATAAATTTAGAAAACACTATTTTAAATAGAAGTGATCACTTTATAGACAGACAATATACTAATTGTAAATTATGCTTAAATATTCATTAAAGCCAAGTACACTTGAGTCACTCACTAGAATGATTATTATTTGTTATATTTAGAAGTATTCCGTTTAAAATATAGATAGACTGTTTCAAAATTTTCATGAATAAAAGGCTTCTCAGTTATTTAAATTCAACTTTTCTACAATAAGTATATATTTTAAAATATAAATTCTGGTGATCAGTGTTATTTTTTGCTTTTTTTTCTCTCTCTGATATTCCTGAAGGTAAAAGCAGCAAACGAACTCTACAAAGTTTGTGTAACAAATGTTGAAAAAAGACAAAATGATCTAGAAAACACCAAAAGAGAAATTTTAACACAACTCAGGACACTTGTTTTCCAGTGTGATCTTATACTTAAAGCTGTAAGTGATTTCTTCAGTATTTTTGAAGGCAAGAGGGGAGAAAAAAGTCTTCTTATCTGCAGAAGGGAGAGGGGTGCCTGATAAAATTGATTCTTATGATTTGAGAATAGAACATATTTGAAGATTGGCTTTCAATTTTCATTAGTGACATAGTTTGATTTATTTTTGATCTGTCTCCCTTCCATGTCCCCTAGATTCATGATTCGCTTGGTTAAAACTGAACTGTGAGAGTTTGAAATTGCCTCTATATTATTGTCTTTTTGCCTTGGTTGATAAATTTGATTTTACCTTGCAACTTCTGTCAGCTGAGTGACAGAAGAGAGATCTATTCTTCAAAATTTGAGTAAACTAAATATTAAAATTGAACCCAGTGACATATTTGAAGACAAAGCATTCAGGCTGCATTTGTTTTCATTACCTCTTTAAAATGTTTTTTTTTTGTAAAATATTTACATATCCAAAACTCTCTTGGTGTACAGTTTATAAGTTTTAACATACATATAAATTTGTGTGATCATCACCATGGTCAAGATTTGAAACAATTTCATCACTTCAAAGATATTATTTTGCTGGGCACTGTAATGTGTAACTGTAATCCTAGTGACTCAGGAGGCTGAGGCAGAAGGATAGCAAGTTCAAGGCCAACCTGGGCAACTTATCGAGGTCCTAAGCAACTTAATGTGACCCTGTCTCAAAATAAAAAGGCTGGTGATGTAGCTCAGTGGTAAAGTGCTCCTGGTTTCAATCCCCAGTTTAAACACACACACACACACACACACATACACACACATACATACACATATACATATGGCACACACCTGCCATACCAGCAACTCAGAAGGCCAAGCCAGGAGGATCTCCAAGCTCAAGGCTAGCCTGGGCAACTTAATGAGAACCTATCTCAAAATAAATGGGCTTAGAAAGTATATAGCTCAGTGGTAGAATCTGTGCCTAGCATGTTCAAGAAAGATCCTGGTGGGTTCAATCCCCAGTGCCACAAAAATAAAAAAGTTATTTCATGCTATACCTTTGTAGTCAAACTCTCCACCTTGCCCTAACTTCTGGCAAGTACTGCTGTGTTCTCCATCTCATTACTTTCATGTCTTTCAGAATGTCATATAAATGTAATCATATAGTAGGTAATCTTTGGAAATAGGCTTTTACATGGCCTGATGCCTTTGAGATTCATTAATGTTATTCATGTATCAATAGTCCATTTCTTTGTATTGCTGAGTGGTAGTCCATTATATGACTATACCACAGTGTTTATCCATTTACCAGTTGGACATTTATGTTGTTTCTAGTTTGGGGTAATTATGAATAGAGCTACAAGAATATTTATTTACAGGCTTTTGATGACTATGTTTTCTTTATTTTAAATAACATAGGAGTGGGTTTATGGTTGGTATGCTAAATGCATGTTTAATTTAATAAGAGCTGCCAAACTATTTTCCAGAATGGCTGTAATCCAGTGGTACATGAGAATTTCAGTTATTCTGTGTTCTTGACATTTGTCAGTTCCTTTAAAAAAAATTTTTTAAGTGTTCTAATAGATGGGTAGTGTTATGTAATCATGGCTTCAATTTGTTTCCAGAATGACTAGTGATATTATTATTATTATTTTTTTGTGTGTGTGGTTCTGGGGATTGAACCCAGGGCTTTGTGCATGCGAGGCAAACACTCTACCAACTGAACTATATTATTCCTAGCCTGAAATTTTTAAAGGGCTTATTTGTAATCTGTATTTTGCCTATCTTTAGGTTTTTGTCGAGTTGTTTGTTTTCTTATTGTTGAGCTTGCATGCAGTTTCTCCCATTTACAGCTTCTCTTTATATTTTAGTATTGTCTTTCAATGAGCAAAATGTTTTAATTTGTATGGAGTCTAGCTTATTATTTTCTTCTTTTATGGGTCATGTTTTTGATGTTATATCTAAGGATAAGGATACTTCCTTCATCTAACCCAAGGTCACAAAGTTTTCTCCTGAAAGTTTTATTATTTATTTATTTGAACTGTGGATTAAATCCAGGGGCTCTTTACCACTGAGCTACATTCCCAGTCCTTTTATTTTGAAACAGGGATCTCACTAAGTTACTGAGGCTAGCCTCAAACTTGCAAGGCTCCTCCTGTCTGAGCCTCCTGAGTTGCTGGGATTACAGACATACACCATGGTTCCTGACAAAGTTGTGTAATTTTTCATTTATATACATGATCCAATTGAGTTACTTTTTTCATTTTTTAAATTGGAGCTTTATAACTGTACATATGGTGGGATTTGTGGTTGCATATTCAGAGATGCATACAGTATAACAAAATAATTTGGCAATGTTGTTCCCTACTGATTACCTTTTCCCTTCTCTCTTCCCTTCCCCTGACCCCCTTTCTCCACTGATTTCCTTTCTATTTTCATAAGACGTGTAGATTGAGGTTTGATTTTTAGCATATAGGTGTTATATTAAAATTATACCTGTAGAATTTCAACTTACGGAAGTGATTGAGTACCAACACAGAGAGGTCAATGCCATTGATATAAGAATTTATTGCTTACATTTTCTGAGAAGGCGATTTATCATAGCAGGTTTGGCAGGCAGATGCAGGAGTGAAAGGAAAGCTGAGTTAGAATCTTTATTGGGGTTTCCTCAGGAGAGGCAAAGTGGGTAAAGTAACAGTTTAGAATTGGCTAGTTTGAATAATTCCGGTGGGCTTTGGGACACAGGAATGGTCTCTAGTTTCTTGTTATCTGGCCTTGGGATGATACAGGGTCAGAGGAAATAGTTGGCTTGAGGTAAGAGTTAGATCGGGAGTTGATTGGGCTACAAATTTGGGACTTCTTGGTTTGTGTGAAGTATGTGATCCCAGCTGAGCCCCTGGCTATTTTAAGAGTTGTCTAGCCCAAGGAGGGCAGTTTCTCCCTGGCCAGTATTCTTTTCTTTTTCTGAGACATTAAAATATCATATAATACAGAAAATATAAAACATGGTTAATATAGATGTCTACTTGTTCTGATACCATTAGTTGAAAACACTGTGCCATTTTCTTTAAATTGCCTTTGTACCTGTTTAAAAAGATCACTCGACCGCATTTGTGTGTGTCTGTTTCTGAATTCTCTACTTTATTCAATTAATGTATTTGTTTATCCTTTTGCCCAAACCCCAATATCTTGATTCAGTTGCTTTATACCAAGTCTTTTTATTAATATTTATTTTTTAGTTTTTGGTGGACATAATATCTTTATTTTATATTTATGTGGTGCTGAGGATCGAACCCAGTGCCTCATGCATACTAGATGAGCACTCTACCACTGAGCCACAACCCTAGCCCCAAGTCTTCTTTTTTTATATATATCTTTATTTTATTTATTTATTTTTTTATGTGGTGCTGAGGATCAACCCCAGTGCCTCACGCATGAGGGGCAAGTGCTCAACCACTGAGCTACAACCCCAGCCCCATATATACCAAATCTTAAAACCAGGTAATTGGAGTCTTCCACTTTCCTTCTTTTTCAGAATTGGTTTTGTTTAAAATTCTTTACTTTCTATTAAAATGTTAGAATCAACTTGTGTTTATCTACCGAAAAACCTTGGTAACATTTTTATTGAAGTTGTTATTAATTCTTAGATGATATTATGGAGAATTGATTGTATATTTAGCATCCTTTTAAATCCATGAACACTATATATTTTTCCACTTATTTAGGCTATTGATTTTTTTAAATCAGCATTTTATAGTTTTCAACATAAAAATCTTTTACAGATTTTGTTAAATTTAAATCCGTTTATGTGTTATTGTGAATGAATTGTGTACACATACACTTGCAAGTTCCAGCTTAATAACATTTGGAAATACAATTAATATTTTTTTATATTGATCTTATTATTTGCAACCTTGATAAACTTGTTTTAGTAGTTGTGTAGATTCTTGGGGTTTTCTACATAGAAAATCACATTATCTGCAAATAAGAACAGTTTTATATTTTCCTTTCCAGTGTGTACTTCTTCTGTTATTTTTCTTTTTAAAATATTTTTTATGTCTTTATTTTATTTATTTATTTTATGCGTGGTGCTGAGAATTGAACCCAGCACCCTGCATGTGCTAGGTGAGCACTCTAATGCTGAGCCAGAACCCAAGCCCTCATTTTTTTTTCTTATTGCACTAGATGGGGCTCCCTGTTGAATGGGGTCCCACTGTCAAATAAGAGAGGTAAGAGATGACATCCTTGTCTTATTCTCGATTAGGGGGAAAATATTAAGTCTTTCACCATTAAATATGATGATACCTGTAAGATACTTGAAGATATCCTTCAATCTGATTAAGAAATTTCTCTGTTTGCTAGTCTGCTGAGAGTTTTATCATTAATAAGTGTTTGAATTTATAAAATATTTTTCTATATCATTTGATATAATCATGTGGTGTATCTTCTTTCGCCCATTAATGTGGTAAATTAAATTGTTATTTGAGTGTTGATCTTACCTTGGGATTAGCTCCTCTTGTTTGTGATGTATTATTCCTCTTATATATAGCTGGATTCACTTACTAATATCTTTTTTTTAAATTTTTTATTGTTGGTTGTTCAAAACATTACATAGTTCTTGATATATCATATTTCACACTTTGATTCAAGTGGGTTATGAACTCCCATTTTTACCCCATATACAGATTGCAGAATCACATCAGTTACACATCCATTGATTTACATATTGCCATACTAGTGTCTGTTGTATTCTGCTGCCTTTCCTTAGCTCCTCTTGTTTGTGATGTATTATTCCTCTTATATATAGCTGGATTCACTTACTAATATCTTATTATATTAAAAGATATTAAAATAGATTGTTATATCATTTTTCTTTTTAAAAATTTGTTCTAATTAATTAGACATGACAGTAGAATGCACTTTGTCACATTATATATAAGTGGAGTATAACTTCTCATTCTTATGGTTGTACATGATGTAGAATCACACTGGTTGTGTAGTCATATATGCACATAGGGTAATAATGTCCAA